GAAAAATAAAATAAAATAATAATAATAACAATAATAATAAATGAATAGTAAAATTGGTACAAGTGACCAACTCTATTTATATCCTAGATAGATTCCACTTGGAAAACGTAGTACCTTCTGTTTTAAGGTTTCGGAGTTCCTGCAAAATATTAAGATTGCTTCTACTCTTTCCTTAGTTTTTGTAGCATTAGGATCATCGTCATTGATCTAAAATTGCCAAAAACAGAAATATATTCAAAGATGAAACCTCATGACATCACAGTGATGGTGTTGCAGAAAAACTTGCTTGTTTTGTTTAGAATGAAGCATCGTACCTTAGATTTTGGCACGCAAGTGAAATCGTGATGTTGGTCTCAGAATTATTATTTCATTCAAAAACGATTGCAGTAAACAATAAAGAATTACAGAAACGTAAAGAACATAAGAATTTTCGCCCCTAAGGGCCCGGATGTTTAGCCAAAAGGCCTACTCACCCATTGAGTATCTACAAAAGTAGATTATGCTCGAATCCACTAAAAATCACAAAGAATCGATACAAAAATGTATGAAGAAACCACAGTTCCTTCAATTTCAATTTTCTTTTGCCTCTCTTTTATACAACATTCAGTTTTCTACAATCTCACATATCGTATACCAAATATAACCCTAACATCACTCAGATTAGAGATTGTTTTCAGAAAGATGCAAGAACAGAAGAGTCCAGAAAACCCTCAGAGAGAAAACGAAGAAAACCCTAGAACCGTTCACTCAGATTAGGGCAAAAATAAAGAGTCAAGAGACTTTAACAGTCCACCAAAATATCAACGATCCAACGATCACAAAGGTGCCAAGTGTAAGGTCCACAACAGTCGCCCTTTATTAAGAAAAACGTGTTTCCAAAAAACATTTTTCATTTCCAACCATTTCAGCTTGTTGGATCAACCAACCCAGCAGGACCCGATATCACTAAATTTGGGCCAGCCAAGAATAGAGAGGTAGCCCACCAACAATCTCTACCTTGCTGATCTATTCTTGGTATTCTTTCGTGGATTCAAGACTTGGTCTATTTTTGTTTCATTTGCTCTATAAAAACTTGTAAAAAGAAAATGAAAAATAGTCAGTTGATTTTCAAAAAACAACAAATAAAATTCAAATATCAAATTGAATTTATTACCTTCAAAGTATGTTCAGAATTTTCAGACAATTTCTGAACTTGTTTAGAGGTAAAACCTTAGTACCAATATCAGAAGGATTAAATTCAGTTGGGATTTTAACCAAGTTAATTAATCACTTTTCAACCGTATTTCTAACAAAATGAAATTTAATATCAACATGCTCAGTCCTATCATGATATACATGATTTTTACTCAAATGAATTGCACTTTGGTTATCAGTACAAATTCTAACCATTTCATTCATGAAACCAATTTCATTTAATAAACCCCTTAACCATAAACCTTATTTAATAGCATCACATGCTGCAATATACTCAGCTTCAGTGGAAGATAGAGCTACAAGTTTTTGTAGTTGGGACTTCCAACTAACACAACAATCACAAAGAGTAAACACATAGGAGGAGGTTGATCTTATTTTATCTAAATCTCCTACAAAGTCAGAATATATATATCCTTTCAGGATAATGTCTTCATTACATCTTTGAAATTTTAATCCTAGTTCAATTGAGCCCTTTAGATATCTTAACATCCATTTGATTGCTAACCAATGTGTCTCACCTGGATTGGCCATGAATCTACTAAGCATGCTTATACCATGAGCTAAGTCAGGTCTTGTACATATCATAAGGTACATACTACAGCCAATAGCATTTGCATAAGGTATTTTACTCATTTTGTCATATTCTTCATCAGTTTTAAATGACTGTTCACTAGAAAGTTTGAAGTGATTTGCAATAGGTAAAGTTACAAGTTTACATTCAGTCATAGCAAACTTCTCAAGTATCTTATTCACATAAGAGTTTTGATTTACATACAGAACACAATTCTTTCTATTTCTATTGATTTTCATGCCTAAAATTCTCTTTGCTTGTCCTAAATCTTTCATTTCAAATTCAGATTTAAGTTTTTCTTTAACAGAAATAATTTCAGATTTATCATGGTAGGCAATAAGTATATCATCAACATATAATAAGAGATAGAGAGAATCAAGTCCTCCTGACCCTTTGAAGAAGAAACAAGAGTCAAAATTACTCTTAAGAAATCCCAAATTTTGAACATAAGAGTAAAATTTCTTATACTATTGTTTTGGTGCCTGTTTCAAACCATAGAGAGATTTTTTTAATAAACAAACCTGATTAGATTTTGACTTTAGTTCAAAACCTTTTGGTTGATTCATATAAATTGTTTCTTCAAGGTCAACATTTAGGAAGGCTGTCTTAACTTCAAGCTGGTCTAATTCCCAGTTGAAGTGGGCTGTTTAGGCAAGTAAAATTCTGATAGAGGTGTATTTAGCAACAAGTGCAAAAATTTCATTATAGTCAATACCCTCTCTTTGTGTAAAGCCTTTTGCCACAAGTCCGGCTTTATATCTAATGCTCCCAAAATTAGGTTCTCCTTCTTTAATTTTATAAACCCATTTGCAGTCAACAACCTTCTGATTTTTGGGCCTATTGACAAGGATCCATGTATTATTTTTAGTTAAAGAGTCCATTTCTTCTTGCATGGCTTTTAGCCAAAGTTTGGTTTCCTCACAATTTGTAGCTTCTTCAAAGGTTGTTGGTTCAGAATTAACATATTCAAGTTTAGTGTAAAATGTTACAAATTCATCTGCATTAATTATTGTAGAAGAGAACCTATTTCTTCTACTTCTATCTCTGGTCAACTGATAATTTTCGAGGGCAGTATTTTGAGATTGATTTTCAGCATCAGATTCATTTTGAGGTTGATCTATATCAGATTGAGTAGACTCCACCTCAATCAAATTATCCGGTTCATCAGAATCATCTTCTAGACTATCCAGGACAGTTTCTTTAACAGAAAAAGTCAAATCTGTATTTTGTGTTGAAGAGTTCTTACAAGGGAATTTACTTTCATCAAAAATCATGTTTCTACTGATGATGACCCTGAACCCACCTTTTTCTCTCCCCCACAATCTATAACCCTTTGTTTCTTCACCATAACCTAGAAAAATACATTTTTGAGATCTAGGTTCAAGTTTGTCTACGTTTTGGTGAGAGTAGGCAGCACGGCCAAAGACCCTTAATTTCAGGTAATCTGGAGAATTTCCAGATCATAAGTGTTCAGGGATTTGAAAATCAATAGCACTTGAAGGTATTCTATTTATCAGATAAGTGACAGTTTTCAGGGCCTCTCCCCAAAAGATCTTTGAAAGACCAGAACTAAGTAACATACACCTAACCTTTTCCAATAAGGTTCTATTCATCCTTTCAGTAATACCATTTTGCTAAGGAGTGTGTGTTACTGTTCTGTGCCTCAAGATTCCATATTCTTTACAAAGAAGATCAAATTCAAAATTACAAAATTCAAGGCCATTATCTGTTCTAAGTGCTTTTACCTTTTTGTTTGTTTGATTTTCTATCATCAGTTTCCATTATTTAAAATTTTGGAAAGTGTCTGATTTATGTTTTAAGAGAAAGGTCCAAATTTTTCTTGAAAAATCATCTACAATTAGCAAATAAAATTTGAACCCACTTAAAGTATTTATAGATGCTGGACCCCATAGGTCAGCATGTAAATACTATAGTATAGAATTTGATTTGTGAATTCCAATTTTAAAAGGCAGTTTATTTTATTTTCCAATAACACAGTCTTCACAGAATTCTAATTTTTTAATATTGTCCTTTCCAAAACATTTTAATTTGTTTAAAATTGTCAATCCCTTTTCACTAATATGGCCAAGTCTCCTGTGTCAAATCAGTGTCTTATTGTCATGTGATTTTACAACTGCAGAGCTATTTCCAACTAATAGTTTAGCCTGCACTGTAAAGATTCCATTAGATTTAAGAGAAGAGATTATCTCTTTACAGTTAAGACTAATTACAATTTGTCCTTTATGAATCCTAATTTCATATTCATCATCCAATTGCCCCAAAGAAATCAAGTTTCTTTGAAGATCAGGCGCATATCTGATCTAAGACAATTCAAGAATATTGTTGTTTTCTAGTAACAACTTAAGGTTTCCAATACCTCTTATTTGACAGGTCATATCATTCCCTATCTGAACTTGACTCCCACTATTCAGGTCAGTAAAATCATTGAACCACTCTTTAACGGGAGACATATGGAATGAACACCCAGAGTCTAGAACTCATTCATTTTGGTTTCTTTTGGTTATGGTAAAAAAAAAAAAACTCCCTGTATATCAGGTTTATTATTGCAGACAACAGCTGCAGACCCATCTATATTTGTTTTACCTTTCATTTAAGATATTTTCTTAAAACAGTCTTTTATGAGATGTCCTGTTTTACCACAGTAATAACATTTTTTGGCTGGTAACTTAGGTTTTGATTGATTTCTGAATTTAGGAAATTGAGGATTTCCCTTCTTATGTGAATTAAAATTACATTGATTATTTTTTTTGTTCTGATTTGCTCTCTCTCTTACATTCAAACCTTCCCCAAACTTAGAGTCTTTGGATTCTGTTTTAAGTTCAAGTTCTTTATTCCCTAGAGCTAATATAACAATATCAACAGTAAGGTCAGTTCTCCCATACTCTAAAGCAGTTCTCAGTTCTCTGTATTTGTCACCTAGTGCATTTAACAGAGCAACAACTTGTTCATCTTCAAATAATTTCTCTTCACAGTCAGTTAATTCTTGAATCAATCTAGTGAATTTATCAAAATTATCTTCTAGGCTTAAGGAGGGATCAAATCTAAAATTATAGAATTGCCTAAGAAGATAACATTTGTTAGGCATAGATTTAGTCAAGTAGAGGGATTCTAGTTTGGTCCATAAGGCTTGAGTAGTAGTAGTTTCCCCAACTTTTCTTATTACACTATCAGACAGATGTAAGAAAATTGAACTCCAAGCAATCTCATCTAACTCCTATCTCCTATATGCACTTATCTCAACAGGCCATACCCCATTAATGGCCCCAGCACACCTCTGTTGTAATAACAAAGCCCTTATTTTCTAGCGCCACAAACTAAAATCTCCAATCTCTCTCCATATTTCTACTTCGAATTTTTGAGTCATGATCACAGATAAATCCACAGATTCAAGTTTATATGCCACACAGGATATAGTAAGTGTAGACAGTGAGAGTAAACAATAAATATTTCAATATAGCAATCTTATATTAAGAATGTGCAGATATTCAACAAGAGTAATGGAAAGATATAGCTACCAACTTGAAAGAGGGTCGAAGGGGTGATGACCTGTTCAAGCCACTGCCCCCTCAGATTCCCAGGTCCTCGCAAGAGACCTTGGACAAAGGAAGGTAGCAGAAGATCAATTACCTTAATGACCAACTCTGAGTAGTATATTATCTAAACAGTTAACTAAGAAACTAAGAAAGTAAGGAACTTATACCAAAGATTGAAACACAGTATTATAGAATGAAGAAGGTAATTAAGCGAATACCAGAACCGGTTGCACAATCCAAGGTATCACACAAAAAGCCAACGAGTCACAGCAACTCAGAGAGACTCAGCAGTGAGTCACAAGAGATCAGCAGGAATCGGAATGAGTCGAGTTGACTTACTGCTACTCAGTACGAGTCTTTATGAAAACATTACTCAGAAAAATTCAGAAGCCTTAGAAAACCAAGAAAAATATAGTAATCATTAGAAATAATATCACAAAGAAGTATCACAAAGTACACAGTTGAAAGATCCAGCAAAAAGTTGAATCGAAGGTAGATCTTGTAAGAATTTTTCACAAAGAGTACTCGATTTAAGATTTAACCAAAAAATCTACGATCTAGGGTTTTTAAAAAAAAACTTTAACAAAAGAGAAATTTAAAAAACCCTAACCCTTCATAAACTGCCCTGATACCACTTGGTAACATCACTCAGATTAGAGATAGTTTTCAGAAAGATGCAAGAACATAAGAGTCCAGAAAGCCCTCAGAGAGAAGACGAAGAAAACCCTAGAATCGTTCACTCAGATTAGGGCAAAAATGAAGAGTCAAGAGACTTTAACAGTCCACCAAAATATCAATGATCCAACGATCACAAAGGTGCCAAGTGTAAGGTCCACAACAGTCGCCCTTTATTAAGAAAAACGTGTTTCCAAAAAATGCTTTTCATTTCCAACCATTTTAACCCGTTGGATCAACCAACCCAGCAGGGCCCAATATTACTAAATTTGGGCCAACCAAGAATAGAGAGGCAGCCCACCAACACGTGAAAAACCCCACAGAAATCTTTATATGTTTTTGCTTCCATCAACAGCTCTAGGAGCAAGATCTACGTTGAATACCGCCAAAACAAACTTAGCCTCCATTTGATATTAGCCAAAAAAGTTGATAAAGATCTAAGTGAAAGTCAACAATTCATTTTAACATACCTTTCATGGATCCACAATTTTTATCATCTTTTCAACATCACATTTTATCTTTTTTTTTTTTTTTTTTTTATCAAAATCTATTAAAAATCTGATTTTTAAAAAACTGAACATGGGTTCAATTATTATGGTATCATACTACAATGTATGCAAAACAACACGTCATGCCATGAAAGGACCGGATGAAGAGAGAATGTTAAGAATTATTCATCTGACCAAATCTCATGTTCTCGACACCTTTAAAGACTTGAATGTTGTTGTAGCACGACGCTTACGTCCCAATTGTTACAATCTGGAAGTAAATGAATTGAATTCAGATTTTGATATCATTGTCGATGTGTGATATGATAATCTGAAGTTTTAAATAAAAGAAAATCTACCTGTACCATTGCACAAGACTGAAAGATAGTTGGATGTTGCATTGTAGAAATGTACCTCAAACAATCATTTGTGTGTATCAAAGCATTCATTATCATCTCGTTCAGGCAGTTTACTGCCTTGATCGAGTTTTCTCCAATTTTAAGTCCTAAGGCACATAAACCAAACACATGTAATTGCTCTAGTTGACCCAATAAAAAACAACAAAATCCGAGACGAAGCATTGAAAAGATAAGTACCTCAGATTTGTCGACATACTTACTCCAAGACATACGCAGGTTTTGAAGCGACTTTGGTACATTTCTGCATTCATTTCAAACAAATATGACAACAAATAGAGACATTGAGTGGAGAAAAGATTTTAACACTAAAAATTGGAACAAATACCTGAGCTGAGCAAATACAGATATTGAGTGGAAAACTTTATCCGGTGGAAAATCTTCTATTCCAGAGGCACGAATTAACTTCAAAAACCCTAATCCAATAATTCTAGCTACATGGTGACAATATTCATCATAGTCTTCAATTGTTTCTACCTGGAAGTTGTAAGTAGCACTGTGTAGACATAAAAAAAAAATTAATAATAAAATGGATTAGGTCGATTTAAATTATTAGCCCAATTAAATTTTAAGTCTACTAAAGTTCATAAAAATCCAAGGGCCCATACCAAATTTTAAATAAATAAACAAACAAATAAATAAAATCGTAATTACTCAATTATCTCTTTTAATTAAATACAATTGAGTAATTGTCAAAATTAACACGAATTCTCCCCTATAAATAGGACCAATAGTGCATAAGACAAGGGGAGAAGAAAAGAAGCTTGCAAGAAGAAACGAAAGCAGAGAAGGCAACCACGAAGTGCTAAAGAAATTTCAAGGCCGGAGGAAGGAAATAAATTATCTTAAGCCTAAACTCGGTGAACTCCAAGAAAATTAAAATCTTCTTCGAATTAAACAAGTTCACGCCAAGCCCGAGAAGATCAAAGTCTTCTTCAAATCAAATCAAATTCAAGTCCAAGTCCAAGATTCAAGTTTCAAACAAGTCAAGTCTCGACAAATCAAATTTTCAACAAATTCTTGAAGACCAGAATTCAAGCGACGTGACCCTTCGTCTTCAGATATTCAAATTATTAATCAGAAAATTTTTACAATTTTACAATTATAAGAAGGTCAACATCACTTATATTTATTAAAATACAATTTGTAACAATTTCTGTATTTTAATACACGAGATTTCGTCGTATACACTGTTTGAGTGATTTGAATTGCCTTAAGAAAAGGTAAGAAAAACGACAATTTGGCCAAGTGGACCAAGCTCTGTATTGCTGGAAATTTTTAGATGAACCGTATCCAAGAAATTAAACGGATTATGGTAGATAATTTATAGAATTTCATCAAGAGCTGTTAGAACTCAATTAACACATTTGATATGCTTATAAAATACCTCCTTGCATGAAAATTTTGCCATTCCAGCACCAATTGTCATGATGAATCCTCAATCATCTTCTGATAATTGCAACAAGGAGGGTTATTTGACATCCAGAGAAGAATGCATATTACATACACTGAAATAATTATACGGTGAAAAACTGAAAAATACTTATTTTTGACAGAGTTCCTTCTTCTAAACTTTGTTAGCACTTTTCAATCTGCCAAAATATAATTTTTTTTTTCCTTACAATCTACTTATATTTAAAGGCTTAGGTATAAGAAGTTTCAGTTGTGCAAGTAACAAACATTGACAGCATGAAGTCATCAACAAAAGGTAAATTATTTAGCTTATGTACTAGAACTCAAGATCGCAGCACTGTTAAAAACCATTGTCAACCCATTATGTTACTCTTATGGCGAGAGCCTCTTGAAAACTTTCTATCCAATGTCGCTACTAGTGAACGCCTCAAGGAAATATATATTAAGATCCTAGTTATGAGAAGACCTACTTCAAAGCTCTAGAAAAGAAGTAGAAACATGATGGAACTTGTTCATGAGAACTCTGAAGTCCTTCTTACCACCTTTTAAGGGGGGGGGGGGGGGGGGGGGGGGGGAACAAGCAGATCAGTGTAACGATCCCGTTTCTGTGCTCAAATCGTTATATCATACGTACTATTCACTTTAAGTAGGTCTATTACTATCTAACTTCTCACGACTTTCTATCCGTCCCCAAGATTCGAACTCAACTCAGAAGCTTAAGTTGAATCTTGGTATCAATTGGGCAAATATCTTATAAACTAGATGTTTTGAGTTCGAATCTTAAGGATGCAAAGAAATTCGTAAGATGTAAGATGGGCAAATACTCTCCCAAAGCAGACAATAAGTATGAGTTAAGGTAATCACAATTAGACAACAAGTCTAGAGCATCCACGTACTAGATAAGTAGAACAAGTGCTAGATAAGCAAAACAAGTGTCAAACAGGTTATAAAGGAAGAAACACCAAAAACTCACACGAAAAATGCCATTCACGATCATAGATGTTGTTAGGGAATACATTGATTCAAATGTGCATATTATATTCATAAAACTTATACGTTCACGAAATCGAAACTAGGTTTTGATTTACCGAAATGGAGTTTGAGAAACTAACCAATGATTATTGAATCTGACTATTTCCATTATTGAATTAAAACACGTGATTCTTCATATCGAACCTTGCATAAACCATATAAATAAAATTAATCATTTTCTGAAATCAAGTATGAAGAAATGAAATCAGAAATAAGAAAAAATTAGATGCAAGTGATGCGATTGGTCGAGGCGAGTATAACTCTTTCTTTAAGACGAATTTGCCCCACATCGGTGCTAATGAATTTTCGACAATCATCTCCCAAGATACAACAACCACATCAAGCCATAGGAGTACTTTAAATGGCTTCGACCAGCGAAGTCGAACGAAATTTTCACTCTACCATAATCATGATTTTGATACAAAAGATAATCACTTCTATAAAGTGTTTTATGCATAGCAAAGTGTAAATTATGGAATTGAATGAAATTTTTTGAATTAATAAATCTAAACAAATGGGGTCAATATATAGATGTTGAAAAGGTTTGTCTCAAAAGACACAACCTATGGAAGGGACATAACTATTGAAATTAGTCTCTATATTTAAAGAGACATGTCTCTTGGAAAATGATAATCTCAAAAGTCATAATCTTTCATATAGAAAGACACTTTTTCAGCCAAATAATTTCTAGAATATTCCATAATATTCTATGCACTTTTTCCATAATTCACATATTTAAGTGATTTAAATTTGGCTTAATTTTTCATTCACCAAATAATACAAAATTTCAACAATCCTCCACATGAATGAAAATTAATGCAAATATTTATGCAGACACTAGTAGAGAGAGAGAGAGAGCGAAAAAACACTGTATCAAGGATGGTAGCTTCTGGCTTTGAACCTCCTTTAGTGAAATATCATCGGACTTACTCAGCTAATTGGTGAACGTGATGTCTTGAACCATTCAGCCTTTAGTGTAAGCCAAGACAACGATACTCACACATTGTCTTCCCTAAACCTTTCTTGGTTCTGCGAGTGTTTGGAGAATTTAAGCCTTGAATAATTCTCATTGAAGCGGCCCCATTTCACACTTACATAGGTGACCTCCTATTATGGGTATTCTGCCCTACTCCACTTGACTTAATCAAGATATAGAAATCATTAAAAGATTATCTTAACATCTTACAACTCTGCAAAAAGCACTTTAATATTATAGGAATGAGTTAGGAAATTATTTTCCTAAGTGCTTCATGGAATACTCATAACTTAGTTGTCCCTTTGAACCAAATTCTTGAGATCTCCAGTCAATAAGGTAGGGTTACCATTACAAGGACTCTAACGTAATAGGCTTCATTCACATTCATTTCGATATGCAGTATACTTAATCTCTCGGTAAATCTCTTAAAGGTAACATGAGTTTACACCACTGAGATCATTTGCTTAATGATATTATATCTATGACTTATACGTCTAGACCTACCATTACATGTGATTTAGTATCTTATCAAATATTACTAGCCAATGATCGATTCATTTAATAGATACAAATTGTCGCCACCAAGAAATCCTCACATGAAACTATATGCCTCATTAGCTTTATCTAAAGCTTTATCAATTTTCAAACACGGTTGGAGGATTTCTATCAAACACTACACTAGTCAATTACTTTTACTAGTGGATTTCAGAATCATGGGTATTCAATATCATCATTGAAACATTACCATGCATTTGAACTTTATGAATATTTTTCATATATTCCAATTGTTCTTGCATGTTTAAACAAACGCCATAATCGGCTTTACAATCCATTTCATCCACTTTAGACTTAGTATATATCATCCTTATAATTAGTATAAGGGTTTTCTATTTTTCCACCTTCATAGATATCGTTCTGTGATTATAAGATAGAAGCAAACGTAACTGTTAAACCGAGTTACCCCTACAATTCCTCAATTAGGAATACATATGCAATCTAGTAATGTTGCATCCACAAGTTTTGAACTTTTCACTCAAGTTCACGAGCATTCCCCCCCCCCCCCACATATTTGTCTTACAATTGAACTCAAGATTCAGCGACTCTTTTATAGTTCTATTTATTTATCTCTTAGATAATATCCGTATCCAGTGCTTTGTGAAAGTTTATGTACTTTCAAAATAGTGATCGTCAACTTGCATATAATGTACTTCAATCTAATTAATTTTGATCATCCAAATTAAATCAAGGTCATCACATGGACCAACAATGCTATCAAAACATATACCAACTTAATTGGTTTCATGATTGAAGTCAAATTCAACAATAAAGAGGGCTAAGCATTGCAACTTCTTCAAATATATGCAACTTATCACATTTGTGACATTTTACATGATAGTTTCATTTTAACCATCGGTTGAAAAGTTGTGTTCTCAAAAGACACAATCCTATAAAAGGACACACCTCTTAGATTAATTTTTATGAAGAGACACACCCATTGGAAAATAATTATATCAAAAGTCATGATTTTTCATATGAAAGGACACACCTTTTGATCTAAATTGATCCAACACAATTTTCTACAATTTCAAATAATTAAGGGGCTTAATTCTCATTACTATATAATGATATTCACTTAAATCATCTCACTTAATTTTATCAAATTAATTGAGGTTATCAACATTAATCAAAGTTAGTATAATTTCAACAAGATATGAAAATTTAACCAACTAATTTATCATGTCATAATTCATATTCCAATAAAAAAATAGTCATGAAAGTTCATATACTTTCACAATTAGTTGACATCTATTCTAGTAACATTGGAGTTGTACCAATAACCAACAGATATAAATCTTATTTAAATAAATATACATGTCATATTATTTAATAGGATAATCAAGTTGATGATAGATTACGAAATTGGATTTGAAAATGCATTTAGAAAATGAAGAGTTGTCATTTAACAAATTGCCTTAAAAACCACATGCACTTTTTCAAAATAAACCAACTCCATGGACCTTAACTAATTTATGGAAAGACACGTATTGACAGCCATATATATTGATTAACAATTGCAACCATGTGCAATATATAATACTTCACTTTCATCATATACTAAATAAATGGATGGCATGGACACTTAAGACACAATTCATATAATAACATAATAGTTTCTCATGTATGCATCAGTCCTTTTTTTTTTTTAAGAGTTGCACAGAACCCCATCGAGCACAAAACTTAAGTTGGGTCGAGTTTATGCAATCAGATTTTATCATCCAATCCATTTAATACTTTGTTCATGCAAACAGAATAATGAAAAATATAAATGCACGAAAACAAATTTCATCTTAAGATTGTTGGGGAATACACTAATTCAAATGTGCATATTATATTCACAAAACTTATACGTTCACGAAATCGAAACAAGATTTTGACTTATCGAAATGGAGTTTGAGAAACTTACCAATGATTATTGAATCTGACTATTTCCATTCTTGAATTGAAACATGTGATTCTTCATATCGAATCTTGTATAAACCATATAAATAAAATTAATCATTTTCTGAAATCAAGTATGAAGAAATGAAATCAAAAATAAGAAAAAATTAGACGCAAGTGATGCGATTGGTCGAGGTGAGTATAACTCTTTCTTTAAGATGAATTTGCCCTGCACGATGCTAATGGTTTTTCGACAATCATTTCCCAAGATACAACGACCACGTCAAGCCATATGAGCACTCTAAATGGCTTCGACCAGCGAACTCGAACGAAATTCCTTCTCTATCATAATCATGATTTTGATGTAAAAGATAATCACTTCTACAAAGTGATTCATGCATAGCAAAGTGTCCAATTGAAAGACTGGCCAAGAATTTTGTGCTCCTAATGCCACCATCATTCGAATTGTATCATGCCTTGCAACTGGAGCAAAAACCTCCTTGTAATCAATGCCAAATTCTTGCTTATATCCCTTTGCAACAAACCGTGCTTTATACTTGTCAACTTTGCTATCTTTGTTTAACTTTGTTTTGTACACCCATTTAACACCAATAGAATTTTGTCTTTTCGAAAGTTCTGATAGTTCCCATGTGTTGTTTTTCTTTATAGACCTGATCTCTTCATCCATAGCCTTTTGCTATTTCGAATCTTTGACAGCTTCTTGGAGTGTTATAGGATCACAATCTAATAATAAGGCAAAATGAGCAAAAATATCATCAGATTGATCACCACTAACCTCAAAATATACCATCCAAGCATGCCTCTTTTTTATTCGTTGAGATCGAGAGCTTTTGTTTATTGCCTGAGCTTCGTTGACATCAATTGGCTGTTGCAGGTGCTGGTCAGACTACTGCAAGTGCTGATCTGGTTGGTGCAGGTGCTGGTCTAGTTATGTCAATGGAGGAATATTGGGAAAGATAGATTGCCCCGATATTTCTGTTTCTTTCTCTTCAAAATTCACAGGTATTTGGTGCTGCCCTACATCTTCTCCAATCCATTTTCATATACTTTCTTCATCAAACACAACATCCCAACTGATGATAATCTTCCCCATCATTGGATTGAACAATTTGTAGGCTTTTGACTGTTTACTAATGCCAAGGAAGACATACCTTTATCATTTAACTTCTTCCTCTTTCGTCTGGAACATGTGCATGCAATGCACCTGAAAACCTTGAAACAATCAACAGATGGTTTTCGCCCACTCCAAGCTTCTTCTGGAGTCATGTTTTTAACAGAATAGGTAGGACTCCGATTTAAAACATGAGCACTCCAATTTACTGCTTCTGGCAAAAAACTTTTTGAAATTTTCCCGTTCGCTGCCATGCTTCGCACCATGTTTAGAATAGTTCGATTCTTTCTCTCTGCTACGCCATTTTGTTGAGGCGTGTAAGCTGCTATCACTTGCCTTTGAATTCCATGCTCATCACAAAAATTTACAAATTCTTGTGACATGTATTCTCCCTAACAATCAGTTCGAAGAGTTTTAATAGTTCTCCCAACTTCATTCTCCACCTGGGCTTTGAAGTTTTTAAAAGCTGTGAAAGCTTCAGATTTTTCCTGCAAAAAGTAGATCCATGTTTTTCGACAATAATCATCAATAAAAGAAATAAAATATTTCTTTTTTCCATTTGATATCGGATTTATTGGACCACATATATCAAAATGAATAAACTCCAGTGGCCTTTGTGCTCTCCATGCCTTGCCTTTTGGAAATTGCTCACGATGTTGTTTGCCAACAACACACTTTCACATATTTTTGAGGTAGAAGCAATTTGAGGAAGGCCAGTCACCATGTTCTTTTGAGAAAGGATATTCAAACCATTAAAATTCAAATGGGCATATCGCAGATTCCAAAGCCATGTTAAATCACTTACATCAGCCTTGAAATAGGTTTGAATATTCTTTATTTCAAGGGAAACAACTTGTTTGGGGTTATCTTAACATGAGCAATTAGCCCTCTTCTTGAATCATAGATTTCACATGCACCCCCTTTGATTGTAGCCTCATAACCTTTCTCTTGTAATTGTCCCATACTTAACAAATTACTTTTCAAGTCAGGAACATAAAATACATTTGAAATAGTCTCAATATTGTCATTTTTAGTCCTAATTTGAATATCACCATTTCACGTAACAATTACTTTAGAATGATCACCAAAACTCAGAGTAGCATGAAAATCTTCATTTAAATAAGAATGTAGTGATTTATTACCGATATAATTATTGCATCCCGTATCCGAATACCATATCTTTGTTTCTAGCTTCTCATTGAGTTGAAATGCCATCAAGAGTGTTTCTTGTTCCCTTTTCTCTACAAAGTTTGAATGATCTCCCTAGCTAGAGTGAAGATTTGCAGTGCATTTAGACTTATAATGACCAAACTTGTGGCAGTGGTAGCACTTATTGTTGGACTTATCAAACTTTGAATCATTGTTAAGTGAATGCTGGTGGTGATCATGTCCTCTGCCTCTGCCTCTGCCTCTGCCACTGCCACTGCCACTGCCACTGCCACTGCCTCGAGATTCTGGTGTGTAAGATCCTCTGCCTCTTCCTCATATATGGCCTCTACTTGATCATCTTCCTCTAGAGGCTTTACCATAAGTTGAAGCCTTTAAAGCTTTCTCCTTGGTTGAACTTGTTGTCATTCTTTGCTCATGCGCCAGCAATGAACTTTGCAACTCATCAATTGAAAGCTCATCGAGGTCTTTTGACTCCTCAATAAAACATACGATATAGGAAAATTCTGAAGCCATTGATCGAAGAATTTTCTCCACCACAGCCACGTCTTCAATTTTGTCACCATGAACACGCATCTTGTTTACTATTGCCAGTGTTCTAGAGAAATATTCATCAACAGACTCTCTTTGCTTCATATGGAGAATCTCGAATTCTTTGCGAAGGGCTTGAAGCTGCTACCTTTGAACCCTTGTTGTGCCCTGATATTTTTGCTTCATGAAATCCTATATCTGTTTACAGGTATCCTTTTGCAGAATCATCTCCAAAATGGTACAATCAATAGCTTGAAATAGATAGTTCTTTACCTTGAGATCCTTCAACTTCTGTTCTTCAAGTCTTTTGCGTTGAGCTTCAGTCAACACCACTCCAGGGGCTGATTCAGTCACTCTTGCTTCCACTATAGTACAATATTCTTTAGATCGCAAAAAATTCTCCATCAACATGCTCCAATGATCAAAGTGACCATCAAAGCGAGGTATTACTGGTTGTACATATTTATTGTTTGATGACATTGATGCCTGCTTGCTACTGCAAAATCGAATAGGTGAAATGCTATATCACTCCCTATCTCACTCTCTGTTTTTTTGTACTCTAGGCTCTTTTTTTGTACTCTATAGTTTTTTTGTTCTCACTCCTCTTGGCTCTGATACCAGGTGCTATACAAAAGACAGATTCTGGCATAGTTAAAAAAAAGAAAGATGAATGAACAAATGTAGAAACGAGACCTTTTTTGAAGAAGAACTACGTTATTATCATAATGAAATTGCCTTTTATATAGGCATTACAACCAAGAAACTTAACAGAAAAATCAGTAGCAACTAACCCATGACTAACAACGCCTAAGCTAAAGAAAAGGTAAACCACGTACCCAATTTCCTATGGAATAGGACTTCAAAGATTTATTCTACTAATTACTAAAAAGTAAAACATTAACACACTTTGCTGGCAAAAATGAAAAATCTAATTCCACCAGTTTGATATTCAACAGCAGTCCAAAGCTCAAAGTCACACAAGCTACATTCTTTAGCTTTTCCTAGAGGTTTCTATTTCTTCCTTTATGTTTCTATTTCCATTTGGATCATTCTATTGAGAGGTTGAAGAGGCAGTAGAAGAAATAGAAACATAAAGGAATGCTTTTATAGTTTGTTTTAGTTGAAGATTGTCGCACAACAAGTGTTTGATAGAATAATCCAAACGGATCTCTTCTCATTCTTCACTCCCGACTACTACCGCCAAGGTGAGCATGCATACTATAACCGTCCAGAGCCTCTATGGCCCTACATTTGGGCAAATAATGTTTTTGGATTGGCCCATATAAGGGCAATAAGCTTCTAATTTTGCTACTATGAGTCTGCTTTCTAGTTAAGACATGATTTGGGCTTCTCTTTAAAAGGTTGTGGTTGTTCATAATCGGGCTTTTATCTCTTGAGGCCCACTGATCTTTATGTTTAGTGACATTTTCAGAAATTCTTTCTAGGCCTAGCTTGGGATTTCATCTATTTTGGGTTTCTAGTCACTACAATGTTCTCGTGAAAATTGCGCCCCTTCCGTAGTTTTTGATAAAATTTCAAAAATTACTTTGTATATAGTTTTATTTTAAAATTGCTATTAAATTATAATTAAAAAAATTGAGAAAATCACTTCATTCATACACGTTAATTAATTGGGTGCTGATTTTGTTCCTCCAAACACACCCCTTTTATATAATAGATTAGTCAAAATTCCATAAATCACAATCCTTCACTCTTCATATTCATTTCATTATCTCCACTATCTAGAATCCTCTCTCGAATTCGAAATTCAATGGCACACACCAATCCTTTTATAGATCCTCAACAAATTTTATGTTGCGGTACTTTTGTAGGCGATTAGCAAAAATCAATCCAAAACATGGTAACTGTAAAGATGTAGGTACTAATATTTATTACATATGGTTTACATTACAAGGTCAGACATATAAAACACGAAATATATTTCATATGAAAAGCAAATATGGGTATACATATTCTTAACCGTGAAAACATATTTTCGGATGACAATTTCTAATTGTGAATCATGGAAACATATATTTAGATGTCAAAATGGGTCCACAAAATACTTAAAAAGGTGAATCGTGAAACCATATTTTCTGCTACTGAATGTTGACTACACACGTATATATTGCTAGAGATACAACTTCTTAATGGATAGATACATAGAAGAGCCTACGATAAATTTGCCCAAATTACCTTCTTTTGAATTCTACAGTGATTTTAA